CAGTTATGACAGTATTGCCATATTATTTACATATGAGACAGCTGAGTAACTGCAAAGGCCAGATCCCTGGGTCTGCTGTAGAACACCATGGTTCTAAGTCACTACTAGCATACCCCACTGGGGTGTATAAAGGGAATGGAAGGAAGGAAGCTGGCATTTTGGTCTCCAGTCTAACTGCAGCCTCATACACAAACTCACTTCTTGGCTGTTTTTTATAAGACAATACTCTTTCTGAACATGATTATTCCTTTTTCTCACTGATTTCGAGGTTGCTCAGTGCCCTGCACAGCGTTTCACGTCCTTTGCTGACCCCCATTTACAAAGCTGGGCTCAGCAGAGCACTCACCCAGCAGAATCACTGTATCACCTACTCAAATGCCTACTTGACAGAGGAAGCCTGAAGTGTTCTGTGTTTACTTGCTTCTCACTGTGACAATATGCACCCTGGATTCATCTAAAAAGGAAGTAAGAAAGTCAGATTTGTCAGGCAGCCCAGCTCTGAGCATCACAGGGTTGAAGCCAGACCTTCAAGCTTTGTGATACCCAACAGTATGTTACAATAGCATCTTTAAAGTGAAATAAACCAAAGTAGAAAGAACAATTCATGACCTAACCTATTTGGAAAATAACATAGTCCTCTCTTCTACTCCCTTTCATGTCTTAAAACCTATCTTGGTTTGCTGGCAGTAAGTGCAATACAGCTGAATTTAGGCCTGCATGGGCTTGATCATATACCCAGCATCCAAAACTGTCTTCTTGGATGTCTGTCAAGTGCATGAATAGTATTATGAAACAAAAACACCCAGTAATCTGCTAGAGATACATCTCAACCAAACTCAAACTACATAGACAAGTCCAAAAGGATAATGCTGTCATTCATCTTGCACTTATTATTTGGCCACCTGATGCCTTAAAGCAGGGCACTAATTGCACAGTGAGAGCTGGAAAAGCACTTGTATCCTTCTGCTGCAATGGAAGGAGGAAAAGCAGCCCCATTACTATGGACAGGACTGTCTTGACCTGAAATCCAGATTACTTCTCTAGTGAGAGTACAATGTTACACCTGCAAAGTCAGCAGATGACAGTAAGATTCGTAACCTGGAACGTACTTAGAGACAGTTTGATCATCTCATGATGAATATTAACACAAAATGACCCATCATTTGCTAAACCACCAAGTGTTTTTCCATTCAAAGTGGACTGTTCTTTCCCATTCTGTGCAGAGAAGGTAGGGCTGCAGTTGGCTTCTTCTGGAAGGAAGTAAGACACTAAATTACCCATCACGATCCAGCTGATGGGCTTCATGCCTGCCTCGTTGCAAGTAGATCCCAGCAACGGACTTTGTGACAACCTTCTGATCCCAGGCTCATGGAGAAAAGCTAAAAGCTCCATCTTCCCTATGACATGACACATTATTAGTTAGATGTATTTCTGATACAGGGTTGACAGCGAGGAAGTGATGTTGGCTGGTGTCAACTTCCTACAGTGTTGTGCCTCCCTCGTGTGAAATAGCTCTGCCGCTGTCTTGTAGGCCAGGATTCCTCCTCAAAAAGGCTTCAGACAAACCTACAAAGGTACAGAGAACCTGCAGAGCCCCAGGGGTTTCCAAGGCAATGCTGGACCTCAGGCATGAGGAGCCCTCCTTCTCTTCAGAACAAATCAAAGGAAAACAGAAAGAACAAATAAACCACTGTCAATGCACTGTGGATCTTATAATGAGCTTAACCAGTAAATTTCTGCTTCCTCTGAGGTGCACCATGATGTGTATTTAATGAAATCCTCCTTTCCCCTATATCCCTAGCTGGTTTATGTACTATAAATTATGGATGAGCTCCTGTTTAGATATGCAGTCTTTCAGCTGTAAAATAAAGACCACTAACACAGCACTTAGAACACACCGGGATGCCTGCATTCCATCAATGTTTGTATGGGATACAATATGCCAAGCAGTTGTTTGCTCTCACTGGGATCTATGGGGGTAAACGGACTGAGAGAGCAGAGAAGCATCCTCCTATTGCTCTAACTTCCTCCTATCCCAAATTTGTACAGCCTTTGCCTATTGGTAATGAGGAACAGAAGGTGCCATCCATTTCTTTTTGTGGGATAAGGTAATAAAAAAATCAGTTTTTTATCCACTTGTATCACTATTTTTAGCATGGGCAAAGGGATCTCAATGAAACCTAAGAGGAGAAGGAAAGGAAAAGAGAGTATCTATAGTTACTACCACACCACAGTACTGCAGTTAAACAATCAGTAATATATTGTGTGTGTGTGCTCCTTAATATGAAGACCAATAGATTCTGCTCCAGTCAAGCAGGTCTCATGCCACTGGTCCCCTGGCACTGTGCTGCCCCCAGATTACACAGCCCAAGCTCTCTGCATGCAAAGAGGCAGTTTTAACATTTAATGATGATTTCAAAGCAAGTGATTTTGGATGAGCAGGGAGGTAACACAGAGCTTCCAGAGCCCGCTGGAAGCTTCTGGCTGATAGGGATGAGCTGCATATAGGGATGCTGGGGATGGACTCTTCATTAGGGACTGTAGTGATAGGACAAGAGGTAATGGGCTAAAACTTAAACAGGGGAAGTTTAGACTGGATATAAAGAGGAAATTCTTTCCTGTGAGGGTGGTGAGGCACTGGAATGGGTTGCCCAGGGAGGCTGTGAATGCTCCATCCCTGGCAGTGTTCAAGGCCAGGTTGGACAGAGCCTTGGGTGCCATGGTTTAGTGTGAGGTGTCCCTGCCCATGGCAGGGGGGGTGGAACTGGATGATTTTAAGGTCCTTTCCAACCCTAACTATACTATGATTCTATGATTAAAAGAAAAATTGCCTGGCAGGTATAACCACACAGTTATAGCTGGGATTTACAGCTCCCACTGTAACCAAACACAATGTGGTAACAAACATGGGTTTCTAAAGGCCAGTGTTAAAGCATGCAACTGCCGTAAGTAACTCTATGTTGCTAGCTTGACTATGATAGAGAAACCACACGTTATCTTCTACACATAAGACAGATAAATTTCCAGTTCCAAATGATGAAATCCTACCTGCCTTAAGATCTGCTGTCCTTACCTCCCTTTTCTCTGTATGTCTATTTTTCTCTTCATCATGTTTTTTGTTCCCTTTCATTTAAACTACCCTGCTTCTTCCTGCTGCAAGCACTAATCTATTTGCCAGGTGTCGTGGCAAATGGTCAAATTCATTCTTGTTTGTTAACGCAGCACGGGATGACAATTGAACCAAACAGTGACAAATGTGGCAACAGACCCAATAAAGAGCTATGAAAATCCTTACTAAGCACTGTACAGCACTGAAACTTGTTACTTCAGAACAGAATTTACAAATCATAGAATGGTTTGGGTTGAAGGGAGCTTAAAGCTCATCCAGTTCCAACCCCTGCCATGGGCAGGGACACCTTCCACTAGAGCAGGTTGCTCCAAGCCCCATCCAGCCTGGCCTTGAACACTGGCAGGGATGGGGCATTTATCACTTCTTTGGGCAACCTGTTCAAGTGTGTTGAGTTGGAGCTTATCTCTCCAAATGCAGAAGAACAACAGGCTTCTAGTGTAATAACTGAGGATCTGAGCAGCGTGCTCCCCCAGGTCCTGTCCTTACACTGCAGAAAGAAAACTCAGCTGAGTCACATAGAAAATGAACTCTCCCTCTTCTGAGTCTTACGTTCCACAAGTAAACTGCCTAGGAGCTACAGAGCAAAGCACTTAAACATGCCCACCCTGACTTGTTAACAAGGACCAACTGAGTTAACAGCAGTAGCTTAAAGGCATTACTCCTTCCATCTGGAAACAGGTGGGGACAAGAATGTGAGACTGTACCTCGGCCATTCTGGCCCCCAGTCTTAGATTCTGGCATCAATCTATTTTCACTGCAGTCTGTGCTAGCAAACTTAGCTGGAAACTAAAGCACACATTCAGCTCTGGTGGCTCTGCTCAGTGGGAGAGAAGTGGTTACTGGGAGCAGCAGCTTAAACCACTGTATCAAAATGCACTGGAACTCATCTGTGACTGTTCTCCCTCTCCTACTGTGAAGCAGCTTATCCAAGCCTGTAGCTTATTTTCACTTCTTTTCCCTTGTTGTTCTTCTTAAAACGTTCCTAATGCAACTTGTCAGATTTTCTTCAGCTTTATAGCAGGAGCTGAAGGCATTGTGCTGAGAAGTAAGTGAAAGAAAGAGGAAACACTCTTTAGTTAAGACATAAATAGTACTCTACAGGTGGTTTTACTTCTTGTTGATGGCTGTTTTAAGATGGCAAAGGAGAAAAAGAAACATTACAGAAATCTAATATTGTACAAAAGAAAATATAACACTCAGCAAAAATCCAAATAAAAGCTAAGTGAGCATAAAAACTGTTTGAAGGAAGAAACATCAAGGCATTGAGCGCTGTTAGCATTCAAATCAAGCAAGTGAGATTGCTTGTATCACAAACGCAGGCCTCCCCAACACACGCGCCAATACACCACAATGTCCGTGCTGTGCTTCCATGGGCAATTAAGTGCTAGGAAAGAATGCAACTGAGCCACGATTTGTCTGGACACGGGTTTAATGCTCGTTCTTTGCAAGAACAAGGATGCTGAGGATGTCAGAGAGGGACTCTTCATCAGGGACTGTAGCGATAGGACAAGGGGTGATGGGTTCAAACTGAAACAGGGGGAGTTCAGGTTAGATCTAAGGCACAAGCTCTTCCCTGTGAGGGTGCTGAGGCGCTGGCACAGGGTGCCCAGAGGAGCTGTGGCTGCCCCATCCCTGGCAGTGTTCAAGGCCAGGTTGGACACAGGGGCTTGGTGCAACCTGGTCTGGTGTGAGGCATCCCTGCCCGTGGCATGGGGTTGGAACTGGATGATCTCAAGGTCCTTTCCAACCCAGACCATTCTATGAGTCTCTGATTCGAAGTATCTAAGCACCATTGCAGGCAGTAAGTGCACTTAGCCATGAGTTTAACCTTGCAGTGTCGTGCTGCAGAAAGCATCAATACATCACTCACCCACAACGTGTAGGACCCCCTGCGGCTCCCTGGGAAAGTCAGCATGCTCTGATCTGAGACAGCAACCGATGCCAGGCCACTGCTCCTGGATGGTGGCCATTCGAAGTCAGCTTCAGCCTGCTCAGCTTTGCTTTTCTGCTTCTTTATAATCTGTAAAGTAGGGGGCAAGGGAGAAAAGGAGAGGGTGTTTGGGAAATACTCTGAGCTGTACGGATTAAAAACATCAACCCTGTCTCAAGGCAAACTGCCTAAGAGCATTTGAGGTTCCCATGCAAAGATGATTCTGGCACCTTGCATGCATTTCTTCTTATCTGAAGCCATACTGCTTGTCATCACATAAGCACTGACACAATAAATCATGATCAATGCCTGCAGAAACATCAGAGGTGAATTAAATGAAGGTGGAAACCTGTTCCTACAGTAACACTTGAAACATCAGCGGCATCTAAGCGTCAAGTATGTTCTCAGACAACAGTGCTTGCAAAGAAACACAAAGCACAAGATATGAGGGGGATTTCAAAGGTTCCCATGACATCTAGATGGGATTCTGCTGAAATTGAAGAGGTCTTGGGTGTTTAGGAGCTATTTTTGCATCTGAAAATCTACATTGCCTTAAGAGAGAGAGACGGCACAAGCTGCCTGCCTCCCTGCACTGACAGATTACATCCTTCCCCACTTCATTCCTGCAGCTTTACTGACTCCAGTCTAAAATACCTACAGAATATTGCTCTGTGGCACAGGATACCTTGTTAGGCAGCTTTTGACTAAAACAATAGCAATTCTAGCTTGGCTAAGATAGGCTCTAGATTATCAAAGACTTGATAAGCAGAATTAAGCTTCTTATATCCCTATTAAAAAGAAAGCAGATCATTTTCCATTGAGCTGCTACTGCTCTTCTGGTTTTTCTTTAAAGCCTAATAAATAACAAACTCATTGTCTGATATGGGATCCATCCATTGTTAAATGCCACATCCCATAAGCAGATGTGGCAATTAGCTTAGTTTGCATGGAGGGAGACCAACGCAGCAGAGTGGTTACTTTATTGACCACGGGAGCTCAAGGGCACTTTCTTCATACTTGTCCCTCCTTGCTCCAAACTGTCCAGCCAAACTCAAGGGATATTTGTTCCCACTAGCCCCCATTTCTGTGCTGCATCAGTGTCAACTGCAAGCTTCACAGGGAGAAGAAGGAGCTTTCCAGAGAAAGCCACACAAACAGACACAGGGTTCTGTGACTGTCTGGGTGTCTCTCACAGCATCATTACCAGAGCTCTGTTTTCATGATCAGTGTTTTGTTTGCAAGTGTTGCAGATGCACACTTCAGTAGATGGTATGGTCAGGAGCCATACTTCTCTACATTGGCAAACTTCATGCCTCTTGGGAATTGAAGTACAGATGTTAAATTCCATGGAGTGGGAGCCTGCTCTTGCAAGCAAAGATATCAGAGATCTGAGGAAGTGGTACCTCTCAGCTCTGAGGGTGTAGGCCAACAGTTTAGGCACTGGATTAAGCTTATTCCTGTCTGATGTAGCTGATTAAGCCTATCCTGTGATGGTTGAAGTTGCAGCTTGTCATTTACTCTCCTTTCTACACTGGTGTCATCCTTTTTGCTGTTTGCAGAGTTAAAGCTCACCAGACTAAAGGATTGTGTTTCAGCTATTAAACAAGCTAGGGAAAAAACTGCATGCCATACCTTCTGCACGATGGTTGTGGCCAGCTCTTCTATGAGGTCCTCCTTGTGCTCCTGCAAGTAACAAGCCTCATTCTGCTTGTCCTGCATGAAAACGGTTATCTGTTGTTGCTAAAATCACAGAAAAACAGCCTTTCCACAGAAATGGGACAGACCAGGAAACGGGTAAAATGCCCTTATGGGCATGGTGAAAGAAATTACAGGTTCCTACACTGCATGTCACCTTTGAAATGCAACATGCATCTTGGGTACAAGATCATGAAACTCGCACCCAACTCCTTAGATATGGCATGAGATAATCACCGCTTCTTTATGTTTTCTTTTGTAGCCATTTGGTTTTGTACCACTACCCAAATTAAGACAAATATAATTGTTCTATTTAAATTACTACATTTCATGTTTGGTAAATGTCCCTGCCCATGGCACGGGGGTTGGAACTAGATGATCTCAAGGTCCTTTCCAACCCTAACTATTCTATGATTCTAAATGTTACCAGGCTGTCACTGTAGGTCTCTGCCTTCGAAATAGCTTCTTCCACTGCTTCCTCTGCAACACGTAAGGCCACAGCAAGGGTATCCATCATGCTGTGTCCTAGGGGAAGAATCAGATAAAAACACCATGTTCTTTACATATCCACATTTTGCATGACGAGCTCCAGAATTCAGACTCATATTCTGGATAGACATTCAAATATGGGGTTGTTCATGACAAAGTTCATTTCCTCAATCCATAATTCTGCACAGGAAAACAAACACTGGAAGGCAGAGAAATCAGTCTCAATCTCTACGTTGCTTCTGAGATGTAAATATGAAATACAAAAAACCCATGGGATTTTTATGCTCCTTCTTCTAGAATCCAGCAAAATGGTTGGGAGGGAATCACAGGAAGAAAATCTGTAAACTTCCTATGAACACCAACAGAATAGATGAAAATGCACGAGTACAGGAAAGGAAATAGGAGAGAAGCAACAAAACCTGAACACTGAGAAAATCAAACTAGCATTGGTTGTAACATCCCAGTGTGTCACACAAAGGCTTTTTAGTATTGTGCTGAATGCTTGAGTTGAAAGATTTTAAGCAGCATACCTTCTGTCTGTCGGTAGAATGTAGAGTCACTGCCACAAATGCTTCCTTCATTTTCAAAGCTGCCTTCAAGAAACCCTCCTTCTGCTCCAAAAGAAGACAGTACTGTGAATTACTATAAGAAATACCCTTGAACAGCTGAGGCATTAGGATTAGAATATAGAATTAGAATAGAATTAGGCCAGAATATTCACTCGAGATACGGTGGCACTGCACACAAAGAGGGATAGGCAGAAAATTCCTCCAACTTCTTGTATAAACCACGACTGCAGCAGCTTTTGTACAGACCATGACTGCTTTTATATGGAAGACCTCTCATTATGGATGGAGAAAACTACTTGTACAGTGAAAAAGAGAGGATGCTACCAGGTATAAAGCACAGCAGAAGTTAAGTACAGGGGATTTGCCTTTAATATGACATTTGGGGTTGAAATAGATTCTACATTTTAAAGGGCAACGCTGTATAAATAAGCCAATCCCTAGACACATATACTAGTATTTATCTTCAAAGGGAACAAAAGGTTTACCTAACCCTCACACGGAGAGGAGAAGCAAGTTAGCAATGACATTTAGACTCAAAGGCCTTCCTTAGAAAGGTCTCACAGAGAGTGCACATGGCACTGCAACACATCACTGCATTGCTCACGCTTCCATTCCAGGACAAAATCAGTGACACTACAGCTTAAGTACAGGCAACACACGATATTAACATTCTGAAGGATCCATCCTCACAGCTTTTAATTCCATGTGCCACAATTGCCCTCACTGGCACGGACTTCCTTGCCTTTCGGATATATGTGGTCTCAACTGTTAAGGAATCCTCATGAGAAAAATGGATTTGGTACAGAGAAAGCAAAAAGACTAACAAATCAGAACTGAATGCATGGGTTGTTTCCCCCTAGAAGCCAAACTCCACTTGTTCTAGCCCATTTCGTATCTCCAATTACTTTTATGGGCAAGACATTGTAACACCAGAGTTAAAGGGCAAACTGTCTCTTCATCTAAAAGGGTGACACCAATACTTACATCAGCATCTCTGCACCCTTGACAAACAACAGTACAAAAATAAGATGTGGCCAGTTTCAGACTCCTAAACGGGCAAAACTCTGAGGACAATCTGAAGTTTGGTTGACTTGGATATTGAATGTATCCCACTGAACTAAATCCTGCTTCAAACCCCATGGAAATGTGCTCTAAGGCCAAATGCTGGATGCAAAATGACTTTCTCATTCACAGAATACTCAGAACTGTGATAAATTTTAGAACATGGGCTAGAATATAAACTGCAATTTACTTCACAGACTGAAGATAACAGTTCTCCTGTATCAGTGGCATAATTATGATTAAACATTCTTTGAATTCAGAAACATCTCCAGACACTTCACCTCTTTTTTCTCTTCACTGAGGTACTTGATTTAAAGAGAAACCCTTAAAAGATCTCTTTTGCATTTAGCTCAGATTTTCCACTGTCTCAGCTTGTGTGTTAAAGTAGATAAGCTGAGGGGGAATGGCTTTAAACTGACAAAGGGTGATTGAGATGAGCTCTTAGGCACAAGTTCTTCCCTGTGAGGGTGCTGAGGCACTGGCACAGAGTGCCCAGAGAAGCTGTGGCTGCCCCATCCCTGGCAGTGTTCAAGGCCAGGTTGGACACAGGGGCTTGGAGCAACCTGGTCTGGTGTAAGGTGTCCCTGCCCATGGCAGGGGTTGGAACTGGATGAGCTTTAAGGTGTCTTCCACCCAAACCAGTCTGGGATTCTATGATTCTATAGCAAGAAATCTTACCTATTACATCAGGGCAACCTCCGCTCTCCAGTCTATGCTTCTTGTATAAGTTCTTCAGGACTTTGGCACTTCCAAAACACTTGAAGCGGCTTTTGACATTATTGTAGTACCAATCCAGAGACTGGGTCCTTAGGAGCCTGAAACAGAAAAATAAAGGACATATTTGGAATGATTCTATAACAAATGAACAGTAACAGTCACAATCCTTCTACATTAAAAGGGAACTTTTAGGCCTCAAAGCATAATCATATGCATTTTTGAACACTTCTTTACTATTTATACTTTTCAGGTATCTGTTATACTGAGGCAAGAGGAAAAAAGAGGTCAATCATTAGCAAATATCTGATTCATGTTACTCATGGTTTTATTTGCTTTGGCTGCTATCAGAAGAGGCGCTCTCCCCTTTTACACTATAATGCCAATACTACAGCCTGGAACAACACCAACACCAACCACCACCAAGCCTTGGAAGAGCACAGGGAGGTTTTAAAACCAGCCTTTATTTACCCTGATTTACAGATAATGTCAGAACATTAACCCATGAATGCAGTGCAGTGTCATAAGGATATATCCCTGCATCTGTGTGGAGAAATCAACTGAGGAGACAAAGCACAATTAAAGGACCTCAGAGCAGAACAGCAGGTGGAAAACCTAGCTTAGAGGGGAGGACTCACAACTGCAGCTTGGTTTCTCACTTTCAACGTTTAGCATCATTGATGTCAATAGTTCATCCTAATGGATTTGTCCCCGGAGCTCCTATGCTTTTATACTCTCAAGGTCTGCATCCTTTTCCAAGTGGCAATGGGTGGACAGAACCTGCACCATTCCCAGGGAACACTACCAAAAGGTCACCTATCTCACTGCACACACTGCATGAGTTAAGATAGTCAGTTATGAATGCTGACCTGGCAACTTGGGAAAAACAAAGAGATGGGACCCACTGCAAGGCTCTTTCCCCATGTTACCATGGGTTTTGTTGGGTCTGATCAGTACCGTTTCTGTAAACACTGAAAACAAGCAGCACTGAGTTCTCTATGAGGGGAGAGTGCTTTGCAATAACACAACTTTAGAGTCGAGCTTTGTATCTGTAATGATCTTTCCCACATGTGAACTTTGGAAGAGTCAAAAGGAAAAGAGATCACACATCAATGAAAGAAGGGATTTGCCTCTGTACTAGTTAATCTGGTGTAAACACCAGGATTGGTATCTTTGTCTTAATTTCCTCATTGCTGCAGGATTAACACTTTGCGAGTAATCGAATCATCTCATGCTTCTCTCCTATGGGTTGGAGAGCTACCAACAGCTCCAAATCTGTGCTTTGGTCCTGCATGCATTTTACAGCAGATTACAATGCCGCCTTCTCTGGAGCTTTTGAGCCTCTAATAGTGTGCAAGTCCCCTCTGTGAAATAGAGTTCACACTTCAAGCTGTATGCATTCTGAAGAAGCAGAAATGGTTGTAGCCTCTTCTTTCTCTGTGCCATAAAGACCTCTATGTCTTCATTGCTAAATAGTCTTAACCCCTAAGGGCATTATTTATGTTATATCGTGTTGCAGTGCAGCTGAGTTGCATTTTGATGCGCTTTTGGCAGAGTGAACAGTGTGATTTTATGCTCCTGCCTTACTCCAAAGTGTGCAAGGTAGGCAAACGCTTGTGGATTAATAACAATAACACTTGAATGAGTGTTACTGCTGGGCTGCACCCTCAGAGCGTGAGCAGCAGTCGAGGGAGGGGATTCTCCCCCTCTGCTGTGCTTTGGTGAGACCCCCTCCTGCAGCCTGGTGTAACACCCAGCCTCAGGTCCCTTGAGGTCTGTGTTGAGCAGACTCCTGCAGGATGGGAGCTGCCTTACAATTCCTGGACCTTTTTACTTCTGTGGATGTGACTGTTCTTTAGGTTAAGTAATGACAACTCAAAAAGCCAAACAACCCCACCTCTGAAATACAGGACTATCCATCCACAGCTCAGAACCGCTGCTCTGTGGGAGGCTCCAAAATGCAAGGCACAACCGCATCAAACCGAACAGAGTATTACAAGTGTGGAAAAGCAACATCAGTGCTTTAGCTTTCACCCCTCCAAAGCAACCTCAAGGCTCCCTGAACTTCCCAAGGGGCTCAGCTGTGAGCAAAGAGATGGAGGGATTGGGAGGCAGGAGAAGGGGCATAAGGGCTGAACTATGGCAGAGCTGGGACACTGGTGGCCAGGACCCCTGCAAAGCAGACCTGCTTTGCCACGCTGCTGGGCTGGAGGCAGAGGCATGCTGCAGTTAAGTGTTAACCATGATGTGTCGTCCCCCCCCCGGTAGGTGATGGGTGCTGCAGGATGACCACCTTGAAGCCCCTCCATCATGCTCTTGGTGCACTGGTCCCATGTTCTGCATCAGTGGCTGGGAAACTCCAGCCAATCCATGTGATGCTGGTTCAGGCACTGCCACAGGACCCCAACATAGGTTCTCTCCCTGTCCTGGCCTCACACACACTATAATGCTCAAAGCTCTTAATGCATTTCCCAATGGAGAAAAGAGGCCTCATGCCCAGAAAAACAGGTAAGATTTAGCCTATCACTTAGTCACTATTTCAGAGTAAAACTGCTTCAAACTCAGCATCCTGAAATACTCTGCCAGTAGCAATATTGGCCTTTTCCCTTGGGCTAATGTTTTCGAGCTTGTAACATACTGCTTGTTGTAAATTGCTGAATTAAAGCATTTCAGTTCCTTTCAGTCCCAGTGCAATCAAATGTAATTCCAGCTCAAGAATGCAGCTTCACCTCCATCCCCTTCAGGATGAATCATTACTATAGCACACAAACACCACACACATGAATATCCTACCGAGGCTCAGCTTCTTGAAAAGCAGACTTTATATATATAGATCTATTGAGAAAGTTCAGCCACGAGCAGAATAAAGCAGTTCTCCCTGTCCCTCACACTGAAACCATGAGTATCCTGCGCCAGCAGAAATGAACCTGACCTGATAATTGCACTGAGCCTATGTTCATTATTCAGAGCTCAACCAAAAGGATGGTGCTATGTAAGTCATTTCCTAAAAACACACATCCTCTCCACCATTCACACAGAAATTCACTGCCCCAGTTTCAGCTCTTAAACTTCTGCCTTAGATCTAACCTGAACTTCCCCTGTTTCAGTTTGAACCCATCACCCCTTGTCCTAGCACTACAGTCCCTTATGAAGAGTCCCTCTCCAGCATCCTTGTAGCCCCCTTCAGACACTGGAAGCTGCTCTGAGGTCTCCACGCAGCTTCTCTTCTCCAGGCTGAACAGCAACAATATTCTCAGCCTGTCTCCATACAGGAGGTGCTCCAGCCCCTGAGCATCCTTGTGGCCTCCTCTGGACTTGCTCCAACAGCTCCATGTCCTTCTTATATCAGGGACCACCAGTACACGAGGTGTATCACTGTAGTGATAGGACAAGGGGTAACGGGCTCAAACTGAAACAGGGGAAGTTGAGATTGGATACAAGGACAAGGGGAATGGCTTTAACCTAAGAGAGGAGAGACTGAGATGAGCTCTTAGGCAGAAGCTCTTCCCTGTGAGGGTGCTGAGGCGCTGGCACAGGGTGCCCAGAGAAGCTGTGGCTGCCCCATCCCTGGCAGTGTTCAAGGCCAGGTTGGACACAGGGGCTTGGAGCAAGCTGCTCCAGTGTGAGGTGTCCCTGCCCGTGGCAGGGGTTGGAACTGGGTGACCTTAAGGTCCTTTCTATGATTCTATACCACCTTTAGCTGAGATTTATACCCTTTTGCCACTTCTACCCACCCATGCTGCCATCTAACAACAGATTTTCACTTACACAGCCCCACGGGTACACAGCTCCATCACCGCATCCTCCTTCCTTTTTGGCAGTCATCTGCATACTTAACTTACTTCCCTTTGAAGTTATTTGAGTCTTCTCTGAAGTTTAGTCTTCCAATTACATTTCCTTAGAATTAAAGGGGTTCCTTTCACAGAGTCTTACTGCAACAAGACACCTCCCTTTCAAGACTTCTGTAAAGGATAAGGCTGGATGTAGGTCAGGTTCAGTGGTTTCTGCACCTCATCCAGATTTAATCTTCCCATTTGAAAATGGTCAGGCTAAGAACACCTTCTGGTTTAACTTGGGCACAAAGCCATCATCCTGGTTTGTGAACGAAGGCTGTGAGGGTGAGTTTGGTAAGGGCCATTTTCAGGTCTGTTCCCCAGAAGATAAGTGTCCTGCAGCAGCTGAGGAAAACCCTGAAACAACACTGGTATAATTGTAATTATGGTTTGATCCTCTGGTAGGAAAACACACGTAAGAGTACAACGTGTCAGCATTTATCTGAGCTATTTTGCCTTATATCTTCCCTGTGAAGCTGAATGTCAGGAACCCCTGGCTCACAAATGAGTTAAGATAGTCACATTAATCTGACCTGCTGCCTTCAGGAAACCTATTGTGTTTTAGGGCAACTGAAGTGAAAAGACAGATTTTTGCAGCACTTATAAAAGTATTTCTCAATAAAGAAGAGGGTTTTCAAACTCGTGCTCCACTGTAATTTAGTTGATTCTGAACACTAGGGGTGAAATCATGACTGTGGAGAGTTAACAGCAGTTAAAGGAACAACTTAAGAAGGGGCAGGACCTCTCTTCAGGCGTCTACCAGCAGTAAAAGATGTGAGAAGCCATATCCAACACAGCTCCTGACAGTATCTCAGCAAGAGCTAATCAACTTTTGCCACAACAACGCGTTTATGAGGATGTTAGCCATAACTTACAGCCATTAGTGAATACCCTTCCTCCAGTGCTGCTTTGTAAAGTGAGCATCGGCTGATGGATGCTTATTTACTCAGAGCCGACTTCTGAACCTCAAAGTTCAGAAGGCTGCATTGCAGGGGAGCCTGCAGAGAGCTTGCAGTACAAGCTGCTGCTGCTTTCAAGGCACTCTGGCAGAGCCTTAGGCTGTGAAAGGAATGGGATCATTTAGGTGTTCCCTTGTCCCCACACGATAAGCAATACCAAGATCACTACCAGCAGACACATAGCTAGCCTGCTTGTCATGAATGCCAATGCTGCAGAGCTCCCGAACCATCCACTGGTGTTTTCCTATCCTAACACTGAAAGGCTTTCTTAACATTTAAGCTGAATCCTCCTTGTTTCTATTTAAACAA